GGGGGAGGGGGGAGAGGAGGGGGGCGAGGGGGAAGAGGAGGAGGAGCTAGTGGGGGGGTAGGAAAAGTGGAAGGAACATGATGATGAAGAGGATGGAGAAAGAGATCTGGAGGAGGGCGAGGCAGAATATAAACTGAATGAAGAAGATAAGGGGGGAGAAGGCAGAGATGTGGAAGAGGACGATGATACATGTGAGGGGGATGAGGAAGATGAGACATTTAAGGGGGACGAGGAAGATGAAGATATCTCCTGGCCCTCCTCTTCAGCCGCAGGAACCTGAGCATCCACCAAGCTCTGATTTTCAATTTGGGCCTGACAGTCATGGTCCAGCATGTAGCGCCGATGCTTTGAAGGGAAAGGCATGATGACTCTTGTTGCACACAGTAGACTGGAGTGTGAACAAGACTGTGCGCAGTAATGTCCTACTGACCTAGGGGAGAGAGAGAAAACGCAAATAATCTCAGTTGAGAAATTCCACTTTGGCAGCTGGTCTGAGTTGGTCTGTCCCCTAAAGTATAGATTGGAAGCCCAACTCCTATAACTACGAAAGTCCCTGGGTGACTCAAATAGTTTTGCACTCGGCTACTGGTCAAAAGGTTGATGATCCAACCCCACTGAGAGCTCCCTCAGAAGGCCTGGCACTCTGCCTCTGAAAGGTCACAACCTTTTTGTCATCATTGTTGTTTTTGTCGTCATTGTTAGGTACCATCAAGTGCTCTCCGACCCACAGCAAACAACAGATCCTGTGCACAATGGATCCAAAACACTGCCCGGTCCTGCACCATCCTCACAATCGTGCCTATGTCCATTGTTGCAGCCACTTGATAAACCTAAGGAGTAGTTCTTTTCTGCACACACGTGGTCACCATGAATTGGAATCAACTCAGAGACAGTTGACAGTACCTGTGGCTGAACCTTTCAGTAATAGTTTTTCCTTTGTTACACAAATGAGGTTACGTCCGTGTTGAGGGTGTCCTAGTCTAATCACTCCCGAGTGATACACGGAATAGGAGAGACACAGAGACAGGCAACCACAAATTGAAGGATGGGAAGACAGGTGCCACATCAAAATCACCAAGGATGTTCTGAGCCCACCGAGAGACAGGGAGTCTTCCCCTAGAGCTGGTGCCCTGCATCCAAGCTTTGAGACTCGTGAACTGTGAGAATAAATATGACTTCATAGAAGCCACCCACGTATGGTATTTCTGTTACAAAGGCACTCAGAAACTCGAGGTAGTGGCTACTACAACAAAGGTTAACTTACAGATAGTCTCTTTAGCTGGTGCTCGCGTCTCAGAGGTCTCCTGTCTGGTCAGCCAGTCCTCATTGTATCTAAAGGAAGAAGTGAAACAGACAGAGCATGTAGTTTACAAGCACAACCTGAAGCTCCCAGTGCTGACAACAGAACGGGATGACTTGGGCACTGAGGTTCCCAAGGGAGGGGACAGGATCTGGGTAGACATTTAGGGTCATGACCTGACTTCTGCCAGTAGCTAGGCCTACCTCGACTCTGGTAACCAGAAGAACTTTACATGCCTCAGATGAAGTCATTGACCTCCCACTTTCTTGAGCCCCTATGACAGAAATTAAGGGGTGCCTCGGGCCTCACAATGGAGGCAGACCTCCATTGGTCCTTCTGGACCTCCCAGTGCTGGCAGAGGGATAGGACCAGACTCTTTTGATGTCCCCACACCGCAGTTTAGAGATTCCCTCAGTGTCCCTTCAAAGTCCTCAGCTGTCCCCTAGATAGGCCTGCTGACCTGAGAGAGAACTATCAAAAAAAACCCTCACACACCTTTCACCAAAGAGGGGAGGTAAGAGAGTGGAGTACCACTTTGGGCCACATCTGCCCAGCGGCTCCCAGAGGAGTTTATCAGGGCTGGCTGAATTCTAAGAGGACGAGGTCTGTCTCTTCTAGAATGGGAGAATCCTCTGGGCTCTCACATTTGATTCTCTGAAAGATCTGGGCCAAGTCCTCTCCAGACCTGAGTCCAATCCATCAGAAGAAGACCCTCACTTCTGAGATAACCAAGAAGGAAGTGAGGACATGCCACATCTGGCCACTGGGCTCCAGGACCTCCGCGGAATGACAGCAGAGACTAGACACATCTTTTCTGTTGTTGAAGTTACTGTCAGTCCTAATTTCAGGGTCTGCATCGTAATTCCTGGTAGCACCTGTGGCACCCTCCTGCTGATCTGACTTCCATTTCTCCAGGTCTACCATCCCTGAGACCCTCACCCCATCCCATCTTATCAAAGACAGATGTGAAAGAACACAATCTCAAAACCACTTCCAGCATTCCCCCTGCCCCCCCCACCCCACCTTCATCCTCCAGGAGCTGAAAACAGGACATACTCTGCTTCTGTTGGATTCATGTGGGGGGAGGAGGTCCTTCAGTCCTTGCCAAGGGGGTTTACCTAGACTCCTGGTAAAGCCGGGCTCCTTCCTCTGCTGACTTTCTGTCACTACCTCAGACCACAGCAAAGCTCACTTTCCCGAGATTCTGAATAGTAAGGAAGAAATATCACATTCAACCACCCCTACCCAGGGCTGTCAACAGAGACAGAACCCTATCTCTTCTGGGGTCAGGGGTCTTCTCAGCCATCTCTCAAGGGATTCATTTGCACTCTTGGCAAGGCCTGGGTCTACCCCCCACACACACACCCCTGACTTAATGCTATCACTAAGCCCCCCATCTCCTGTATCTGAGATACTCCCAACAACTCTGGGGCTGAAGGAGGGGGTGTAACATTGATTCTCCTTTACCTTCATCCTCCTAGGACTGAAATCAGGGTAGGGAAAAGTGTCTGTGGGACCCCTTCTGTCTGGGGAAGGGGAATACCTTCAGGCCTCACTCAGGGTTCTTACCTTAAGTCCCGACAGACTCTGGGCGTCTTCTGTCTGCTGACGTGATGTTGCCTCCTCAGACCTAGCTAGATTCTCACCTCCCTGAGAACATGAGACAAAAGTCAAGGGGTGACACATGCAATCACCTGTTCTTCCAAGGATCTTCCAAGTTTAGCAGCAAGGGCAGGGTCCTGTCTGTTTTGAAATGAAGGGTGCCCTCCTCATCCTCCCTCCGAATATTCATCTGACTCCTGCCAAGTCCTGACCCATCCTCTTCTGACATGCTGTCTCCCTCTCAGACCCAGATATCACACCTCGGAGACACTCTATTCCCTGCCTCCCATGGCAGAAATGAACTCCACCCCCCACCAGGGACCTGGTCTTTCCAGAACCAAAACTAAGGGCAATTTGAATTTTGTGGGGTTCCTTCTGTTCTGGCGTGGGAGGTGCATTTAGTCCGTACCAAGGATGATCCTTACCGTAACTCGAGGACAAGCTTGAGATTCTTATCTCTGGCCTGGTGTGGCCACTGAGACCAAAGGCCTCACCTCTCTGAGACCCTTAAAAACAAAAGAGATACAGCACATAGCCACCTGAGGAAATGGCTAGGAGAGGGGAGGGGCATGAGGAGAATTCCAACTCCAGACCAGCCCAGGGAAAGTTTCCACAAAGCAGAGATTAGATATTCTGATGCCAACAGCTTCTCCCACTGCCCTCTCCTTCTCCGCTGGGTTCAATAATCCCCTGCAATGGCCACACAGAACTCAATCTCATGCTTACAGAGGTTCAGCAGGGAAGGTAGCCGGCTAACACAAGTTAGGATCAGAAAACGTTAAAGATACCAGTCCTTTTATACGCAATACTTCTTCTCAGCCATCTCTCTCTCGTCCTGAGCCTGTCAGCCACATGGGCTCTTGGCTTCTGCCCTGCCCAAGCAAGTGCTCACCACAATCTGCAAGCCAGCCTCCTGCCAACAGGCACGCAACATTACTCAATTCATGAGCTGGAAGCCCACTATTCTGTCTCACGGTCTCCTCGGCTGCCCCTTCTCCGATTAGGGATTTGGGGCAAGCATGTCTCCTCTTTCTGCTGGTGATGAGATTCTCTGCTCTTGCTTCGGAGTTTGATGCAATGGCAAGAATGACCAGTCCCTGAGTTAAGAGTCCTCGACACCTTATTTGCATGATCCCATCCAGCAATTTGGCAAGCCTTACAAAGACTCTGGATACAAGTGCAATACCAAGTCCTTTCACTTCTCCACACCACAACTCCCCAGGGCTAGTCTTCACTCTGGGTATGACCCGATACAACGAAGTGAGATTATCTGATACGGCTCCTGTCAAATGACTGACTAGAAGCGTGTATCTAAAGTGCGAAGGACTGTAAGGAGTGGATTGGTCACTCGGGTCATTCCAATGTTATAACGTGAGTCATGACACAAGGAGAAAGAAGAAAACTCCATGACCCTCAAAAGATAAAAACCACCAGCAGGTTGCGTACGATATGCCTAGATGACACTGAGACCCTAAGATAGAGCCTTGGGTTGGGACCATGGAAAAAGAGTATATATAGTTAAGTGCCTGCCGGGAGGAGGCTGGTTTCCAGAGCAGGGTGCCCACTGGGCATTATGGATGCTAAAAGAGCATTAGAACACTTGCCTTAGCAGGGCAGAGCCCAAAGAGGCACAGAGCCGAGAGGCTGAGGACCAGAGATAGACTTGCCTACCCGCAAGGCTGAAAAGAGATCATGCCGAGGACAGGTGAACCGCATCGTTTATATTCTCTGACATTGGCTTGTTGAGACCTGGTAACTCCCCTGATAAATGCCCCTCATCACGAGTATTGTCTGTGAGTTCTAAGTGGCCACTGTGATGGGCTTCGGAACCCAGCAGAGCAAGAGTGCCCCGGGAGACACCGTTGGTGTCAGACTAGGGTAAAGAAGGTTGGAGCAAGGACGCATGCCTGACTCCGTGTCATCGAAATCAGCCGTGGGCTGCTGTGGACTTGCATTCTCCTTTGTCCTGGAGGGGTCAAAGCAGCTCAGCTGAGGCACCCACGCCTTTGCTTACCTGATGCCACCTCCTCAGACCAAAGCTTCCTCACCCCCTCTGTGGAGGAAGTGAAGTGTCACATCTGGCACCCCTGCCCGTGTCCTCCCAGTGCTTAAAATAGGGGACACCTCGACTCTATTGGGTCTGCTCTTTTATGTCCAGTCCTTACCAAGGGACCTTACCTGAACTCCTGGCCAAGCCCGGTTTCTTCTCTCTGATCGGATATGGCTCGCTCCGTGGTCTGCTGTCACCCTCAGGCCAAGGACCTCAACTCCCTGAATGCCCGAAGACAAAAATGAGTAGCTGTTACTTCCTTTCTCTCCCACAGGAAAGTCCCCTCGGTGTGCTTCAGGACGCTCTTAATCTCTGTCTCAACCCTCAAACCAAGCCTGTCCTCCCTCCAACACCCACCTCGGCAGTCAGGGGAAAAAACATATGCAGGGACCAGGCCTTGGGTCCTCGCAAGGTAGACAGCAGGAGCAGGGTGGAGCTAAATTCTCTCTGTCCCCTCAGGCCTTCCAAAGGGGGCTATCTAGTAGTGCCTGGGAGTCCTCTCTTCGCTGATCTGAAGCTGGGACCAGTTAGAAAAAGTGAGTATGCAGATAATAGAAAGATCCCCTCCTTTAAGCCGAAGCCCAGGTACACAGATCGATTGTTTTCCGAAATACATTAGAGGCAGACAATGAAATGAGAAAGACCCCTTGTTTGGGGGAGAAAGACTTGGCTTTCCAGTCCTGTAAAGTTACAGCCTCAGACACCCAATGGGGCAGTTCTACTCCTTCTTATAGGAGTCAGGGTTGACTCAATGGCAGTGAGTTTGGTCCTGTTTGTGGGGTACTTCTATTGGTAGGGTCTGCAACTTCCCCCCAAGGGTGCCCAAATAATATATCAAGGCCTGGGTTTAGCATTTCTACTAAAAACTGGGGCTAAGATTTCTCTCGGTAGGTAGAGGGATATGTTTAAGTGGGGAGGGCTGGGAGCTATAAAAGGGAGACGTGGGGACATCCATAGGAGGAGCCTCGGGCATTACTGAAGAGTAGGGGGCTTAGTGACACACTGAGTGACAGACATGTATTCTAAGAAAATGATTGAGCTGCCATTGACTCCGAATGGCAGGAATTCACTTCTTTATAATGGTAACATCTAGAAAAAGGGCTATGTGTTTCATTACTCCATAAGGAAAAGGAGGTTTATTTAAATTTAAAAAATAACCACCCTTGTTTAAGCAGAAGTTCATCTGCACAAATACATTAGTTCAAAACCAGCTTTCACTATCCCCCTTAACTACACCTCCCTGGAAAAATACCTGAGAAATTCCCTAAGGAGATGTTTCAGAAGTAAGTCGCTGGTAAGCTACTCAAAGTTGTCCTTCCAAGGCAGCTGGCCAGAATCTGACTCTGGGGATGAGCCGGAGACAGGGCCTTGTCCTCCAACCACAGCAGATTGATGGAGCGCATGCCAGGTCATCACAATTCACCAGAAGGACCTCACACGGTATTACCCAGATCCACTTGCACAGCGAGGGATCTGAGGTCACATCCACGCCCAAACCTAGCTCACTTCTTGAGGAATAAAGTCTAACTCCCTCCCAATAGGTTATGAATAGGTATCATTTCTTCGTTCCCAATTTTCCTATAAAAATTGTTGCTGCTTTTTTTTTTTTTTTTGCTCACTTTTCTTGCCTAAGCACTTTTTCTTTCTGAGAAGCAAATCTTCTCGGGGATCATTTTCTAATCTAGGTGCCCCCTCCCTTTATGGGCCTGGCTGCGGCCCCATCAAAGGTCGTCACACACCTGAGGACTTCTCCCTACTGGCAGGAGTGAGGGCCCACCACATCCCACCACCTGGTCCCGCATCTCCCAGGTCTGAAAGTCGAGGCTGAGGGAGCCACCCCAAGTTAGGAGCCACGGAGCGAGCACAGGGAAAGCAAAAGAAAAGGGTCTAAGGAGAGGGGGCCATTATGGGGAGGACAAGGTAGCGCACCAGAGGAGGGTCTGGATCGCGGAAGGCTAACTGGGGCGGCAAGCCCTCACCGTCCAAAGGTGCAAGTCAGCAAACTTCCCATTTGAGAACCTTCCCAGGGCTGATGGCAGGGGCAGAGTTAGGGGCTAGGGGGGTGCTGAGAAAAGGAAAGAGGGAGCAGCAGTGAGGATAAGGTGATGCTGCGAGAAATCTCGGGGTCCTTACCACGTCTGGCCCCTCTTGAGCAGACCGCACTCCTCTGAGACAAAGGCACAGCACTGCCCCCGGCAAGTCCGAAAACCACGCTACACCCGTGACAATGTTGCAATTGTAGGGGCGGGGCGGCAAACCTTTAGCGTGCATGGGAGGGCGAGGGGGTGCAGCGAGAAAGGCCTGCACCAAGCTACATCCCTGGACAATGTTGCAATTGTAGGGG